GGAGGGGAGAGGTGGGAGAGGAGGGGAGAGGAGGGGAGAGGAGCAGACAGGAGGGGAGAGACCACGGGAGACGAGGGAGAGGCGGGAGAGCACTGTAGGGCAGAGGTGTCCCGCGTGCAGCGTGGAGGACGTAACTCTCATCCTCTGGACTGAGAGTGGACAAACCTTTAAAGATGGCTACAGAAAGCATGTCCTTAGAAAGCAAGCAAGTGTTGTGTCAGTACCTAGCCTCGCTGCAGAGAACTTGAATGATTTAAAACATCCTAGGATGCATTTAAAAATATTTCTTAATTTATACGTAAGTCTTGGCATCTGTGATAAACATGTGTCTCCATTGTGTCGTATTTTGCTTATTTTATTCTTAAAATCTTAGTCTTACTTATTGTGTCTTTGTGTGTGCAGGGTACGAGGACTGAGCCCAGAGCTCACCCCCTAGGCACGTGCCCTGACACTGAGCCACACTCCAGCCCCTGTTATTCCTTGAGGGAGGCCTCCCTGAGTTCCTGGCGTGAGTTGAGCTCCTCCTGCCTCCTCCCAGGTCCTTGCTTAGCATCTGGATGGCCACCTGAAGTGGCAGCGCCATGTTAAGGACAAAGCTTGGCTTTCCACCCCTCCCTCATCCCAACTCCACCCTAACCCCCCGCACTAGGCCCTGGTTCCTGAGCCTGCCCCATAAAAGTCCAGAACTCAAGCCTGTTTTGCCTCTCTCCGCTTCAGAGAGATGGCCTTTACCGCCAGCTCTGACGGATAAACTCTGAAGCCAAGGTCCTCCACTCCTTGGCAGGATTGAGGAGCCGGGCCAGGGCCTTCAGGTGGACCCAGAGCCGTGCAGTAACTAGGCGCCAGCAGAAGACCACCTTGGCCCGGGCCTCTGCCTCCTGAGACCACTCGCCAAGTCCCTTCTTCCCACCTCCATCAGCATCTGAAGGGTCAACCAGTTCCCGGTCATCTCAAAATCAAGCCAAACGTCGACGATCACACTAGTCCAAGTCTGCATGTCTTGAGTGGACACACTTATAAGTGTCTCAGAAGTGTGGAATGCAGGGAGCCAGTCACTCCTGCAAACTCTAAAACACAGGAAAATGTCCAGTCCTGAGTTTGGACTTTTCGACCAGGGTACAGCTGTACCAGCAGACTCATTAATTCTGGGACTTCCTCACTGCTGCTTATGCAAGATAAAACTTGCCTGACCTCACTGCAACTTTTGGACACAACTCCTCTCCATTAGGCCTAGGAAAGTGTGGCTTTGAATGCTCCTTTTCTCATGAAAACCATATCTGCCCTCTTGGAGCTCCACCCAGCCCTGTGCAGGAAGGGCAGCTCACTCTATCAGGGATGGAAGGAGGCCAGGCCTGTGCCCAACCAGCAGGGAATTCATTCCAAACCCACTGCCAAAGCACTACGCAAATATTTAAAGAATTATTTTTAAAGTATAATGCTTTATAAAGCTAAATTTTACAGAAACACAAAAGAAAGCAGGTAAAATTGTGTAAGCCTTTCAACAACTTAAAATGAAATGTTATTACACTGTTACATATGCATTCCTACTTGGATTCCTTAAATAGAGGAGTTAGATTCTGACCCAGGATATAAACTTCCCCTGGCTTCTCAACGCAATGTGAGAATCTTCTCCCTGGAAGATTCGGTAAGTATGACAAAGAGAGAAAGGCAAGAAAGTTATTTCTCAGAGTTTGAAATCTGGATCCAAATACAAATGTGCTTATCGTTCTGTGTTGTGTAGTGCTTTGAAACCCACTTCAACAGCGTCTCAGGCAATGGAGACGTTTCAGGAAACAGGACGAAAAAGTCAAGGAGGAAAAACCAATCAGTGTTGTTCCCTAAACTGCTGACTGGAGATTTAGCCAGACACTGCTGGCTCGCAGAGGAGCCCAGGGAGAGGGACGGGTCCTAAGGAGGCCAGGGTAGCAGGCCGGAGCAAGCACAGTCAGCACAGGCCAGGCGGGCTCCAGGGTCGAGTCCCGCCTTCTGGCCTCCGCCGGCAGCCTCCACCTGGATGGCACACACAGGATGCTCCCCTCAGTCTCTGCCCTCGGTCACCAGCAGAACACACGGGCCCTGTGACAGAGCAATTCTGCAGAGGCATAGAGAAAGCAGGGAGCCAGCTGACCTCCAGGGAGGGTGTGGCGGTCAGACGGAGCCTCAGGAAGACCCAGCCAGGCGCCAGGATCCCAGTCAGAAGCAGGGCACTCCTGTGTCCTCTGTGCCTGCCACCTGCCAAGAAAACAGATACTTGTTAAATAAAAGCATCTGAATTAGTGGATAATTAGTGATAAAAGAGAGAGAAAGGAAAGCCAAATGTGAACATTGGCCCATTTCCTTAAGAAATACTCTCCTACTTCTAATGCACAGAAAGCGGGGTAAGCATGCGGTCCACTAGTTACAGCAAGTTCCTCCTCCACCGCATCAGAAGGCATCAGAAGCTTTAAGGTGTTAAAACCGTGGTGCTACACCAGAGCAGTACACGTTCCACTTCAGCACCACAGGGCATGCCACGTCCAAGAGGCATATGTGTGTGCCTGTGTGGTCACGGCTGATGCCACAGTCATCAAAACGTGGGAGACCACGCTGTTTGTGCAGTTCCACGCCCTGCTGTCTACATAAACCCACTCACTAGGATACAGATATGCTAGAGGATAAAGAGTCAGTTCTACTTGGCCGAGTGCAACCCACCAATGCTGTGTTAATAGCGCTGCAAAACACTCTCTGGTTTAAACAAACCATCATTTGCTTAGAACCAAAGAAGTTGAGAATTACGAATTATCGTAAGACATTCTAGGTCAATCTCGTCTCCAGAATGCACATGAAATTGGAGAAGGCTAGAAGCCAGCTGCCTCTAATTCCAGGCCTGACGGCGCAGACAGCCGGCTCCTGCTCAGACGTGCCCCACCATCCCACTCTGCTTCAGCCTGGTGTGGAGCACACTCAGCCGATGACCCGCACCTCCCCTGCCGACGAGCCGCCAGGGGACAGAGATGTGGCTTTGCATGATGGGTATGTGGCGTTCACTCACCACAGAGAAGGAGAACGTGGATAGGACCACACTGGCAAGACGAGGAGCCACAGGCCAAGTCCTGTGGGCAGTGCCAGGACACCCACGCGGCCACGTCCACAGGTTCAGATACCGTTGGGGCGTGTCCGCAGGGTCTGGCCCTCAGTGTGGCGCCAGCTTTGCAAGGGGGGCAGATGGAGGCCAGGGGCCAGGGCGCCTCCTCACACAGGGGTCATTGTGGTTCCGGATTCCAGCTAGCTCCCGAGGAGTGGGGAGTGGCCCTGCCACCAGCTGAGCTGGCCCGAGTCTCCCTGGCTCCCTGTCTAGCCAGGCGATTCCTCTTCCCCCCACCATGTCACCTCACTGTGACACCACTGTGATGCCACCAGTCACAAGGCCTTCACCAGAGGCTGAACAGATGAGGCTGCCTGATTATACTGTCAGCACCAAAGCCATGAGCTAAATAAACCTCTTTTTCCGTAAATCACCCAGCCTGAGGTATTTTGTTATAGAAATAGAAAATGAACTAGTACATAAACCACACCTAATCTATTTTTTTCCTGCCTGGATGGAAGTAAATTTCCATTCTGAATCAAAGAGCACAGTACACATTGCTCCTTCCAGTGAGACCTCTTGCTCCCTGTGTTTCAAACTACAGTTGTGTTTGTTTAGGGGGCTAGAAAGCAATTTGCTTAGCTATGATCAGCAGCTTTTTAAATGAAATAGAATAAAATATCAGAAAATGTGAGTCACAGGGCAAGCATCTCATGAAGTTTCTGAACTCAGTTTTACACGTGTTCACGTGCAGCAGGCGGTGGTATCCAGCGCCCTCCTGGAGGAGGGCCGCGTTCAGGAGGTTCAAACGTCCTACTGTCTGTCCGGTGCCCGGGGCTGAGGTCTGGATGTCAGCACTGTTTTCAGCCACGGACACGGCTTCTTTCTATCACATCAGAACTATTCTAATATGATAAAGAGAGTCATTCAGAATTAAAAGAATCTGACCCCAGCACCACACCCCCCCACACACACACACACATACACACACACACACACACACAGAATCTGAAACATTAACAGAACAAAACTTGTAGAAAGCAATTGAATGCAGACACCAGGGATATTACTTGCCCAGAGTCAGCTGTTGTCTTCCTGTGGGGCTAGTCTCAGAGATAAGAGGATGAAAGATTCGGGAACCCAAGGAGTTAAAAATTAGAAGTGAATTCAAGAGGTCGCTAAACTTCTTCCTGCCAGATGTTAGTACTTGTTTGAAATGTTCCCATCACTGAATACTTTCCAACCACATTTCTGCATTACTCAACATGAAGTCGTCCTTCACCCTTTTCCTTTCGACTGGGAAGTGAACTTCAACAAGGAAGCTCCACGTGGAAGCCCCATGTCCAGAGAATGGGCTCCAGGGCAGCTTCGGGGCTGGACTGTCAGCCACTGTGTGGCTCCTCCAGGGCACCTCTCCTGGTCCAGGGTGGAGCAGGGGCACTCCGCTACCCAGTGTGACTCCCGTTTACTTCTCATGTTGAGACAGGGTCTTGCTAACTTGCCCAGGCTGGCCTCAAACTTCAATCCTCCTGCCTCAGCCTCCCTGAGGGGTTACAGGTGTGGCCTCTGCACCTGGCCCACTATCGCACTTCTTAACAAAGTACTTTCACAACCAAGTCTGTCTGAGATGTAGTGTGTGTGCACGTGTGTTACATGCGTGTGCAAGTCATAAAAGCTCCGACTTGCCAAGAGGTGTGAAACTGAGCTTGGTAAATCTCGATCACCTTCTGTCCTTCCTAAAGTCAGAGGACCACAGATAGCACAACTCAGAACAGCAAGGACCCGTGGGCCATGCGCCCTTGCCCTGTCCTCCGACCAGCACGTGGGCGCCAGTGGGTCTGTCACCATCTCTGGGTACAGGAGGACGGGGACTGTGCTTTGGCGGAGTCCCTCATGAAGCTTCCTAACACCCCAGGGGAGTGTTTCGCTTGAGGCTCGTCCAGGAGCTCAGGAGCCAATTCCACCTGGTTTTACCAGTGTCCACTGCAGCCTGGAGATCCTGCTTCCTGAGCCCAAGTTTTCTCCTCTGTACAGCGAGGGAGGGAGGGAGGGG